GTTTTTGAATGTCTTGATGAAATGTGATTTTGCCAAATAACGACTGAGCATCTTTTTCCGGAAAAATTACGTTGATTTACTAAAAAACTGAACCTCTCAAGGTTTAGTGCTTGTTTGGTAGAGATTTTATTAATTGATTTTTTTAAGAAATAAAGTGGATCTTACTTGTAAGAAGAAAATTCAAAAATAAAGATTGAAATAATGAAATAACAGTAAAAAAAATTGATATTATTTGAATTAAAATTTCTACCGAAGATGCTCATAGTAAACTTGAACAGTTAGTGCAGTCACTTCTTCTGCTCAAAAGTATGGACTCCTATCCTCCCGAAAATATGTTATAATTCACAAAATTTTGTATGGACAGTCGTAAATTCCTGGCACTTTCCCGCTATGAATCTCCAAGAACTCCATCTCTAACCTGACGGCCATTGTATCTCCTGCAGTATCACGTAATGAATTCTTATCGCTTGCAGAAATTTTGGCATATAAACTAGGTCGGTCGAGCTTTGTTAATTTGATTTGCAGATTTATTAATATCTCTATTTCTGTTGATTCCCGTTCAGGAAGTGAAGATTCATCCTGTGAATATGCAGAAAGAAAGGAAAAGAAGGGAAAGGCGCAGTGTGAAGGTGATATAAGCAAATCCTTGTTCCAATATTGCATGAGTATTTCTCTTCCTTTGGTATGTTTTCGTTACATGGGATCTTTGACATCTGCGGAGAAGGCCAGTAATGAAGCTGAAATTAGAGTTGCCAAAGCAGCCTCACGAATAGGGCAGAGGCAGATTTGAAGATACAATGTGAGAAAGATAATCTTTTAGCGTCATATTTCCGGAGGCATAAAATGGAAAATTACATTAAATTACTAATAAATTAAATGTCTCAAGGTCTAGAGTACTTTGTCAGCTCTTAAAGCATTGGACTATAATCCTCTCGAATATATTTTAAATTCATATAAACAAATCTTTTCGTGTGTTCATCTCACAGTCTAGATAAATAACATCACTCCTTCTCTAATTGTCCAAATATAAAATCCACACTTTTTTCCTAGTATCGTATCTCCATAAGCTTAAATAACGTCCAAACATGTTTGGGATCAAATAAAAGATTTCCTTCATGGAGACAATACTGTAGAAATCACTTTCCAACCCAAGGCCATCAGACGCCGAGGGAGAGACTAAAAACAGACTTAAACCAACACAAGCTTTATAAAACCTCCATCTCAATCAATGGAGTTCTATAAAATGTACTAAAATGAGGTTGTTTATTATGTATGTTGTATGGTAAGATATTGAATTCCAGCAGAAACTTCATAATAGCAATAACAAACCAAAAAGAATGAAAAAAAGGCAAATCACTAGTGATATCGGAATCAACAAATGCTCAACATGTCTACCACAAATGTGAGAGCCACTTAGTTCATCCTCATGATCCCGGATAGCAATACATCTACACTGTGTAACGATTTTTTGCAACTCTTTCCTTCATCGCGTCTTCCTGCAATATAAGAACTGGTCAGGCACTGACCACCACAGGGAAAGATACAACTTCAATGCATGTTTTTACACAAAAATAATTCTCAGGAAAATGAGAATAGTTACATGAAATATGAACCCAATTGTGTCATTGTATTCTAGAAACTCCTTCCACTGTCTTCCAATTCTCAGCTGCAAAACCATAAATTTCTTTAGGCACACAGCAGATTATGGAATCAGAAAGCATAACTTTCATAAAAAGGCAAAAACTATATGTACCTAAATCAAGAGCTTCGGTAAGTAAATAAACTCAATTGCATGCATAAAAAATTGACTTTACACTCTCAACAAACCAGCTTAAAGCCAGACAAACCTTCTTTTAAAACATCAATCTCTCCATGACAAAAACAAGAACGCTTGAAAATAGAAGTCTGCAAGGATTTCACAAAATAGTATTCTTGCGAACTGAAAATGCTCTCCCTAATGGAGGTACCTTCATGTAATTCATCTATGATACCAAAACACTTATGATAGTGGATGCCATTCAACTCTTAGACCGTTGCTCCCCCTTGGATTTTTTACAACTTAACAAAAAAGGGTTATTCATGGATAAATACATCTACTTGCTAGTTTATTTATCCACAAAATCAATTCGACCCAAGAGAGTCATGTCAAGAATTTAAAGAGAGCGGAATTTTTAAAATTTATCATGTATCGAAGAGGATTCAATGGTACAAATTAGTGGGAGGGCCGTTCATGGACTCAACTCTCAGCTGAATCCACAATTCCTCTCTCAAAGGATTGCTTTTGGCCTGTTTCGATAAAAATAGGAAACATATTAAGTTATTGTGTCAAACCAAATTACCTGAGCCGCTTCATTTGCAGCATTCTTGGTCCAGATAGCAATTTTTTCCTGCCTAGCTCTGACATTGACGACTGCCCCACATATTTCATCTCCGCAATCAAATTGTTCTCCAATCATTGCCAGTAGCTAAAATGAAATTCGTTTGTGAATTAAAGGAAGCATAAGCCATAAAGTTAAAGAAACGCCATGTTAAATAGAACAGAGTCTGAGCTATATGTACCGTATAGAGCCAACAAACATCAGATTTGCCCCGAGCAAAACACACAGTCCACTTTCCCCCATTGGCACAAACAGGATCCTCCCATTTTGGCTCAATTTTATTTTTGAAACAATGAAAGTCTGCTCCAACTACCAATTTGCTTGGCCGGTATACATTATTGTAAACACTGCAAGCCAAGCCGAGCAAATGGTTAGTGGTGATTCAAATAGATAGGTGATGGCAACAGAAATGTGCTATCATTGGAATCAGTTGGAAAGAAGTCATGAATCATGATCATAAAATGTCTTGGAAAATAATAATAGAGCAACAAAGAAAAATATCACATTTTTCCCTTAATCCATGATTAAAAGACGAGCTTAACAACAGCACTTCAAAGAATCAACGTTGTAGAGAATTCCTAATTCACTTGATTTCCTTCACATTCTATGATTTCCCATGGATATAAAAAAGAGTACGAGAAATTCAAGAAAGTGTAGTAACAAGATATAAACACGGAAAAACATATACATTCATAAAATATAATAGGCAAGAACAACTGCCCATCAAATGCATATTAGATTACAGATACACAAGAAATTGAATCTTCCCTCCTCTTAAATTTCCACGGAAAATATTACTGACCCACAAACTTTATAAACCACAATACAATTTCAACAATCAAATAGCGAAATACTAATATACTCAAGACGTAAAATGAAATATATTAAATTAAATGAAATGATATCCAAGAAAGCGAAAGCCCTCACATTATACAGAAAAATGAACCCGTGATGTAGGAAAAAATGTAGGGATAGAGGGTACCTCCAGAAGTCTTCCACAGAGGAGACAGTGTGGACGGGTCGAATGTTGCTGCCCCAAGCGGTCTGCTTGTATTTGGCGGAGGGGGTATCGAACCAGAATGTCCACGAGTACTGCAATGGGTGCTTTGAATACGGAGTTTTCATGGGCTCCGACGCCGGATCTTCTGAGTACTCCACACCCAAGATTTTTCCTTCCTCTAGCTCCGATTCCTCTCCTCTTCCGTCGCCAATTTTGGTAATTGTTAATAATTTCTTCGCATCCTCGTTGGTGGTGATTGGTTTCTCAAAATTTTCAATCATTTTCTCTTTCTTGAATCTTTGATCCCGTTTGAAATTTCTTTTTTCTTCGTCTCTTGTAATTGTTCAGTTATGAGACTGCATGTAGGATCTATTCATTTATGAGGTGGAGTATGGCCATGGGAAAGCTGGCCTGTAAGTATTTGTGGTTGCCTACATAATAAATTGCAATATTGACCAATGACCATCACGTGTAATTTTTACAATCTTAGACCTTAGTGATATACAATGAATAGTGATAATTTAATAGCTTTTTAGAAGGATTAGTAATGCATGGATAATAATGAATAGTAATTTTGAATGAATGATTAAATAAAAAGTTGATATTGACTGTATAATGGAAGTAACTTTTTTGGAAACTAATAATGCTTTCCAAGTATAAGCTATTTGATTTAAGATGAATTTTGTCCCGCACATGTGCTCACAGTTAAATGGAAATCGCATCACTAACTTCTCATGATAGCAACATTATAAATTCCGATAACAGTAAAATTGCTAATGTTTTTAAACTCTGTATTTGAACTAGATGAAATCGAAACTTGATTGTAATGTGAACTGTAGAAAGTTTAAGACACAACAAAAAATGAAGTGACCAATTTTCAAATCATATGGGGACTATATATAATAAATGAAAAGTTGTGTCTTTAAAAGATACAACTATCTAAAAAAAAATAGCCATGAAATTATCTCACCTAAAGAAACATGTCTACTTAGAAATGACAAGTCTTGCAAAAACACGTCTATACTATTTACACATGACTCAAAGTCACACAAGTTCTAGAAATACGTTGTCACGTGTTGAACTAAAATTACTAGAATATTTTCAAGATATACTGATTCAAATTTCTAATAATTTCCATATTTGATTGCCTCATTTTTACATTCATATCTCATTCACCCAAAATTGGTTCAAGAAACTAATTGTATGTGATCACAAAGTAGAACGCATTTAGCATTCAAACCGCTTAATAATTGATCAAAGTTGATCTTCGCTAACCAATTTCCGACGGTTCACACGTGTAGTGCTACTGGATTGTCGCAATGTCAAACCATTTGAGCCTTACAATTGATTATCTTGAGCATGTGCCACTCGTAAAACCTACAAATTTTCAACTCTTCTCTTTACCTACTATGAGAATTCAAAGAGCTCTCTTCAGTTTGTTCGTCTTGTGGAAAAGATTGTTTCTTATTGTAGTACAAATTATGCCAATGCCATGTCTTTCCAATTAAGAAGTAACAGATGACAAATATTAAGTCTAGCGGCAAATAGAATGTCATACTATGAAGACGGATTACACCAGCCCAAAGGGAATTATGGTTTATAACTATCTTGTATAGGGCTGGCCCTGAGAATTTAGAGGCTCTAGGCATTTAATTAATATGAGGTCCCTCAGCATAAAATTTATTTTACAAGTCTAACAATATGTAAATATTTAAATAATTAACACTTTTATATTTAAAAGAAAATTTTATACAATTCAAAAGATTGAATAGCAAAATAAAACTTCTTTCACAACCTGAAAGATTAGGCTAGTATAAGATTTAACCTTCTCACATTTTGAAATGTAAAATTAGTAATCAAACTACCAACATCAAGTTTTTCCAACATATTTTTTTCAGTAGAAATCATAGCTAATCCATTCAATTTCTCTTGTGACATAGATGATCGAAGATAAGATTTAATCAATTTCAATTTTGAAAAACTTCTTTCAGTAGAGGCAACTGTGACATGAATGGTCAATAATACTCTATAAGCAATCCAGGCATTTGTAAAGCAACAGTTCATTTTTTAACGTAATCCAATACATCAATTGCTCCAAATATGGTTTTAGATATCGCTTCCCTTAAAACTTTCAACTCAGAAAATAATTATATTCCATCAATATCATAAATCGTATAATGCTTTAAGTTATTTTCAAGTTTAATGCAAGAACACTTCAAAACATCATCATGAATAAATTTAAGTCTTTTCAAATCAAATAAAAATCCAAAAATATCATCATATTTCTGAAATTGCTCAAATCTATTCTCAAGTGATGATAGAGCTTGATCCACTATATATAAGAAATAATTGATCTTAAAAGATTTTTCATCTGTTTGTGTTATCTCTTTAGAAGAAGTCTCATCAAACTGCTTTTTCCTATGTATAACACGTTTTTCACGAAATATCAGTTTAATTTAATTCACTTGCAATCTCTTTAGCATCTACCATGGCCAATTCGAAACCAGATTCTCTATAACTTTTGAAAAATGATATGAGGCCTTTTAAATGGTCTATAGCAACATCAATATGCATGTCTTTTGCTTGCAAATGTTTGCTTACTCAGTTAACATTATTCAATACTTCATACCAAATAATTATCCTAAGTAAGAATTCAAAATTCTCAATTTCATATGTTGCCAAACACCTCGCCTCACTTTTTGTCTTAGGATCATCAATATTTGCTAATTGAAGTAACGCTTTTTTTTTATCTGCAGAGCTTGAAATCTTATCGCTCTAATACTTTCAATATGACTTTCCCAATGAGTTTATGACAAGGGCTTAAGGGTAAGACTAGTTACATTCTCTTTGAAAATTTTCCACCGTTTAGTAGATAAAGAAAATAAAGTGTATATACGTTGCACCACCCCAAAGAAAGATTTAGCTTTTGAACAACAAGTGACCATATCACAAAGTGCAAGATTAAGACTATGACATCCACAAGGACTGTAGAATGCTCTAGGATTTAGTTGTAATAATCTACTTTGAACTCCTTTATGTTGTCCTTTCATGTTAGTACCATTAGCATAGCCTTGACCCCTTATATTATCAATATCAAGTTCTAAATTATTCAAAGCGTCCACCAGTTCATCAAAAAGTCCCTTACTCGACGTATCATCCATAAATAAAAACCCTAAAAAGAATTCTTCAACCTTCACTGGACTTGCCGAAATATCTACACATCTCAATATTATAGACATTTGTTCTTCATGACTTGTATCTGGAGTGCAATCAAGAATAATAGAAAAGTATTTAGAATTTTTGAGTTTCTCAATGATTATTATTTCTTTATCTCGCCCGCTAGCGTAAGTATCAACTCATTCTGAATTTTGTGTCCTAGATAATGATAATGAATCTCTTTATTTTTTATTTGACGAACATGCCCTTGCATTACGGGATTGAACTCAGCAATCATTTGAATCATGCTTAAGAAGAATGCTTAAAAAGATACCATTATTTTCTTGATATATCTTCTTATTATCCACACGAAATGCTAAATTATTCTCAATAAGAGTTTTTATCACAGATATTATTCTCAGTAATACTTGTCTTCAATGTTCTCTATCTCTATTGATTTGTTCTTGCACACTTTTGTCAATTATTTTACTCTTTTCGAATCTTAATTCCATTCCTATCCATTTCTTGCTTCATGCATTTTAAACTTTTCACCAATATTTTTCCAATCATTTACTCCATCATGTGCCAATTGAGTTCTGATCCCATCATTCTTAAATAGCTTACAACAAAAGCAAAATACTTTATCCAAACTTTTTGAATATATCAACCATTTTCTATCATACTTCTCTTCATTAAGTAATCTTCGAACGTAATGTATGGATGAGAAGAGTCGATTTGCTCTATCTTTCGCAAAAATCATTTCATTTTCTCTTACAGGACCTTTTAATACAATTAAATCTTTTAAATTCGTATTCATATTTCCCCAATTTGCTGGATCAATAAGGTCGAGAGAAAATGGTTTATTATCTCTATCAGTAGACACCTCTTCATTCATCACACAATGTCCTTCCTCAATTGTATTATTTTTGTTATCATTCTCATTAAACACTTCTTCAATAACTACATCTTCGTTATGTGTTCGTTTACTACTACCAAAAAACTTATCGAGTGCCCCCTCTTGAGATTTAATCAACTTTTCAATCTTTTCCTTTCTTTTTCTTTTAGCACATCCAGATTCAAATTTTCTTGTAGACATAATAATAAGCAAAGCAAAGAGCGATAAAACCTAATTGATAAGTCCACAAAATGAAAGGATTTTGAAATTGGTGGTAGTGGTGGTCGCGGTAGTGCTTGAAGTAGACAACGCAGCTATTCCAAGTTGCGGTTGAAAATGTAGAGTCTGAAAAAGTGGAGCAAAAATGGAG